GACCTTTGACCCCAAACCTGTGTGTGTCTGTGTGTGTTTGTGTAAAAATCCTTAGATTTTTTTTATGTAAAGTTTACATCTACTAAGACGCCAAGCTGTTTAAACAAACTTGTCAACATTTCTGACCCCACAGAGCAGACGGTTTCAGTGTAGAGGGTATCGGGCTGATCGCTGCTGGACTCTGTCCACTTTGGTCAAACTCGTTGTTTTTAAATGTCCTATACAAATAAACCTGACCTGAGAGTTTCAGCATGTTTGAGCCTCCGTACAACCATCACACCAAACACGTGTGACATCTGCGTGTCAGTGCAGCGTGTGGGGCAGGTGTGGGCTCAGCACAGGTGTGCTTTAAACCCTCCCCCAGCTGTGGTGACCTCACAGCTGTGTCAGCTGCTGGGTGCAGGGAAACATCGCCCTCTGCTGGACGTCCTGCTCACCATCTGAAACAGGAAGTCCAGCAAATGTCGTTGATTTTTAAGACTTTGATGTTTCCACGGGGACCGGGAGAACTATTGATCAGATTATTGATTTCTCCAGAATAAAGCTTCACTTCCTGTTTAATAAGTCTGAACAGCACAGAGTGGCTAAAGAGGAACTTTGCAGGTGTGGACTCTCAAACGTCATCAGTGGTCTGATCATTGATCCGTGTATTGATCAGAGGCTGGTGTCTTCCTGTCGTCAGAGAAACATCAGCCTGCAGCTGGATGGAGACGTGTGTTTAATGTGCAGCTTGACCTGTTTGGAGCTCACACATCGCCCACCCTTCATCATCATCATCCTCAGACCACCCTCAGACATGTGATGACCTCACAGAGGGTGAGGTCATCATTCTCAGTCAGCTAAGTGTCCAAGCCGAGCTCCTGTGGGTTAGACACTTGAGCTGCTCGCTGATCAGGTGGTCAGGTGAGCACGCTGACATCATGTCCACTGTGTTATCCTGCTCAGACACCAAGGGAGCCTTTGGGAGCAGAGGTCACATGATGGACTGGTTGCCAGGATACCAAATCAATATGGGTCCTCAGGAAGTACAAACTGAAATCCAACCTGGTGCTGACCTCCTACCACTCGTCCAATGAGAGCCTGCTAACAAACTGCATCACAGTATGGTACGGCAGCTGCACTAAGGCAGACAGAGGGAGACTTCAGAGTGTCATCAAGGCAGCACAGAATATCATCAGCTGCCCTCTCCCCTCCCTGATGGACATTTATTCCTCCCACTGCCTCAGCAGAGCAACAAACATCATCAAGGACAGCTCCCACCCTGGTTTCAACATGTTCAGCTTGCTTCCCTCAGGGAAGCGTTACAGGTGCATTAGCACAAAGACCCCCAGACTCAAGAACAGTTTCTTCCACCCATAACCACCCTGAGCTCACACATGCACTGACATCATAGTTCTACCCCCCATTCCAAGAATTCCCTCTATAACCCACCACTGTGCAATAACCCAAACTGTACATACTATTTATTTACGTATTTGTTTTCTTTTTTATGCAATTGTACATTTGCACATTTTGTATATTTGTTCTGTAAATACTGGCCATATGTATATAGTGCTGCAGAAGCTGTGCACATCAGGGTCTCTCCAAAGATCCTCAGGATTTTCTATACAGGCGCTGTGGAGAGCATCCTCACACAGAACATGACATCGTGGTTTGG